CCCCCCCCTTAGCAGCCCAATAAGAGAATGTAGGAGCACAGCCCTGGTAATCCGTCTTTTCCTTTGTAACTGTGCGATGTGGGTCTGGGTGGATGTCCACCACAAACTGAGAAGTCTGCAGGGAAACTTCTCTTAAGACGTTACCTATCTTCTTCTTGTCCTGGTGGTGCTTATTTTCTGTCACCTGGTTGCTTTTTAACCCTTTCTTTTGAACGTGGCATTGAGTAGTTAAAAATTTGTAGTTGTGGGGGTGAGTGCAGTTGCTGTAGTCTGCAGCAGCCTTGCCTTACAGGGAGAGCAGCGTGGGGAGAGCTGGAAGACACGTAAACAAGTGCAGGCTTGTAGTTCTGATGTCTGTGATAGCACCCTTTGCTTTCCGCAGTGTTGATAGGCAGTGGCCAACCAGGCTGAAGCTGCCACAACAGTACCACAGCATGCCCGCTACAAGAGTGAATCCCTTTTTATTTCATTCTATGGCTTGTTGAAGACAGCATCGCTGCTTGTTCATGGCTGCTAACCCAAAACTTGCCAAACATCCTGCTCATTTTAGAGGTGGATGCCTTTACAAAGGCAAGGTAAAATTACAGCTGTGATGCGGAGGTGTCTGTAGCTGATTGAATAACAAGCACCTGTACTGAACAGGGAGCTGCCACCAGAATTCCAGTTTGGGTCTTATTTTATTTGATCTTTTGGGTTATTATTTTAAATACTTGCACAAAGAGTCATCTCCTTAGAATTTCCTCTTGCGGTTGGTCATGGTAAAGTCACGCCTTGATTTCTACCACAGGGAATTTGTAGAATGTCTTTGGATTAGTCAGAGCTCCAATAATTAAAAAAAACCACAAAAAACCAACCAAAAAAAACCAACCAAAAAACCTTGGAGCAAAAATGAGTCTTCCTTGTGCTGCTGTTTTAAGACTAAAAGCTCCTGCAGCTTTTATTGCAGCCAAGACAGAGGTAAAAGCGGGTAGCACCTTTTAGCATTATGTCTGTAGTGCAGGGGGGAGTGCCAGGGCTTGTAGTGGAGTTACCTGGGAGTCATTCTGTCAGTATTTGCACCCTCAGCCACCCCTTTCCCTGCAATGAAGCTAAACATCGGTCCTGCAGTGGGCTGGGTTAGTTCATTGTTGATACAGTGACCTTGTTACACACTGTGCTCCATGGTTACCCTGAAGCTGTGAATCATAGAGTGTAAATATCAAATGTCAGTGTCTCTATTTTTCTCTCTTGGTCACTCTCTTTGCAGGTGTTCAGAACGGACCTGATCACTGCCATGAAGTTACATGACTCCTTCCAGCTGAACCCTGATGAATACTATGTGCTGGCAGACCCCTGGAGGCAGGAGTGGGAAAAGGGAGTTCAGGTGCCAGTTAGCCCAGGGACCATCCCAGAACCAGTAGCCAGGTATAGTTTGGAGGAATGTAAACAAATACACATACGTTTATGCTAGCACCTTATGTCTACATTGCCTTGGCTTCTTGAGCTTTATTCTGCAGTGTCTAGCTAGAAAGCTCTCGGTTCTCGGAGACGAAGAGCAACCTGCCTCAGCTTTTTGAATGGTCGGAGAGGTCAAGAGTCAGGCCTGTTCTGCCTGTGTGGTGAAATACGAATGTCAGAGAATAAGTTTTGGCATTAAATTAGGATGGAGTGTGATGACAGAACCTTAAAAATAGCTTCTGTTTTTCAGCCCAGACTTGACCTCATTCAGCATTGCTGGGAGAGCTTTTGTCTGATGCTTCTTGTGTTTAGTTCCAAGCCATAGGTTCCTTTCAAGGAACAGTTAAGACAAGCCAGATTTAAGGGCTAGAGAAAATACAGCATTTATTTTGGTTTCATGTTATTTTTTTGGTTGTTTCATTTACTAACTTAGGAAATGGTTTGTTGTACAACATTTCAGCTGCTTTAAGAACCATCCAGATGTCCATGTAACTAAAATACATTAATGTGAGATTGTCTAGCTTTTATCCAGGAAACCCTTATTTTCCTTACCTTGTTTGTTACACTTAGATATTGTTTTCTGTCTCAAATTAAACAGTGCAGTTGTAAGGGCAGGAGTGCGTTGCAGCCCTTTTATGCTTAGTTGGGATTGGAGTTGGAGAAAGTGAGAAGAACAAGGATTACTGCTATTTAATCATACTAGATCTCTTTGAGTAAGTCCAGGCTGGCTCATAAGGCGTTACCAAATGACCCACCAGTGCTGGTGGGGTCAGAACAGCCCAAACTGATACATAGCAGAAAATTCTGGGTGACACTACACTGCTTCTGTTAGGTCTGCATCTGCCAGCTTTAACCTTGGAGTAGGCGGACTACAGGAGTGTTTGTTAGCGCTTTCTGTGTTCTGTGCACCAATCTGCAGGCGGCTGCGCAGCCCTACTAGGTCTGTACAATGAGGAACTTACCCACACATCAGGTAAACCCTTTCCTTCCTTCTCCTTCTGAAGGATTGGACCGGGAGATCCAAGGAGAACTTGGCATTTTCCTCTCTGCTGTGCAGTTTAGAACATGGGAGCATATCTTTTCCCTGCAGTGCTCGTAGCCTGCTTCACACTGACCTCACCCAGTCCCTGCATAAATGCACACGCATTGTATCTGTGTGCTCACATTGTCTTCTCCTCACTGCTTTGTCTTTCAAGCACCTCCCAAGGCTGCAGGAGAGTCAGGAGACCTGTGGACTTTAGCAGAGGGAGACCTTCTGGGGGATCCCCACCCCATATCTTACAGGGAGGTGGTTTGGTGGCTGCATCAGATCCAGGTACTCACTTAGAGAGCTTTTCTCTGCCAATCGCCAACAGAGATGTTGCTCCATACTTAAGATACTAAAGGAGATGGGGAAAGAAGGCACCCACAGTTGAGGGTATCAGCTCAGGAGGCACCACTTTTTTTTTAGTTGCTGAGCTGTCTTGTATAGTCCTACTGGTGAGTTCCTGTTGGTCAGAGAGGCCCTCTGATGCCTGATTATTACCCTGTTTGCTCCCTCACAAAATACTTGGGGAGCCCTGTGGTGGTGCTGGAGCGCTGGAACTGTTCTGTGCTTAACTTTGGGAGGGGAGGGAGATGTTCTGTAAATTGAATCGGCAGCAGTCAAATAGTCGCTGGTGTGGAACAGAAGCAAAATACAGTACAGATAGCTGATGCTGTTGAGGTACATAATAGAGAATAAAATATTTTGGTCTTGTAGTGACTGGTCAGGGCAGCAAGAGTAGGTTCAGAGGGGTGGGGAAAGGAGCAAGTCTGTGTGGTGATTTAGTGAAAGCATGCAGTCAGATGGATAATTCAGTTGAATGTGCTTTTTGGTACATAGTAAGTGTTGCTTTTTTTACTTCTTTCTATCACAGAAATAAAGAGATGAAGGTGGTCTGTTTTGAAGCCAAACTACCTGTGTTTATTTCTTCTGTGCCACTGCAGTGGTATTTAGACAGCATGTACAGGGTGCTGCCCAGAGGTTATGATTTCTGCATGGAGGGCTACTCGGGAAGGAATTTATGGTACAGAAGATTTGGAGAGCAGTGCCCTGTTTCAAGTAAATTCTCTGTGAGATGTAGTGGTCTGTACAGTATGACCAGGAACAGTTTGAGCAGTACAGTTAGGCTGGCAAGATCATTCAGATTTGTATTTTTCCACAGTCCCCTTCTGCATCTCAGAAGCCCCAAATTCAGCATTTGGCTCTTGCCCACTATTTCTCAGATTGTTGTCTGAAATAAGCTAGATGAGGGGAAGATTTAGGTCTGTGCAGGAGACTGAAATAGGTAGAGGGTTTACCGAGACCTATGTGTGCAGATACAGTAGTGGCAGATCAGGGTCTTCTTACAGGGTGAGGAGTTAACGTGTTGGACCTCAGATGGGGGTAAAATAGGATGGAGAATCTCCTGCTTGTTGTGGAGCTTAGGCTATTCCCAGCACAAAGTTGTGTCCACATGGAGTGGTGCTGTCTCCTCCCTTGTAGCACTAGAGTGCAAAAAAATCGTCAACACTAGTGCTGCAGGAGGCAGTCATTTGGCAGTGTGGCCTGTTATTCCTGGAGGTACCAGCGTTTAGTTGTGACGTGCATTTCATCCAAACTGAATTTCAGTGTGTGCAGTTAACTTAAGAGAAGGTGCACTGTCCCCTGCTGAGAGAACCGCACTGCAGGTGGACTGACAGTTACCTTGCTGTTTGCAGGCAAGTCACCAGCTTGCTGGTAGAATGACTGCTGTCTTTTGTGAATTGGGCGGTTTTTGCCCCCAGCTCCTGGCTTTGCAAAGTTGTGGCATTGCAGGAATCTGACCTAGAACAAGTTATGTGCTGTAGGTACTTCACCGTTTCCTGAACCAATGCCTGTGGTTGAACAAAATTTCAGTTGGCTTGCAGCTGAAATATGCTTTCATAGTTGGTTTTTGGCCAACCGGAGCCTTCAAAACCAGAGAGAAGGTAGTTTCAGCAGCAGCTGATTAATATTTGCGCTTGGCCCAGCATGACATTAGTGATTGTGAAAGAGCAAATGCAGACCCAAGATGCCAGAGTTTGGATCCGCTTGGGTAAGCAAAGGTAAAGGTAGTTGCAAATTACTGATTCTCTGTGGAAAGGTCTCCTGAATTTCACAAAGATGGCAATTCTGTAGCTACACACACATGCACACACACACACGAAAAAAAATCAAACATACTGGGAGAAAAAAAACTTCAAATGTAGCAGGAAATACTACTTTTTTTTCCTTGAACTTTCTTGATTTTGGTATTGTAGTTAAACAGATTGATTTAAAAAAAGTCTTAAAACAGTTCAACATCTGTGTATATGGCAGCCATCACTACATAAATACAGTGTTCCTACTCTAGCTTTAAACAAGTGTGAATTTCAGGTAAGAGTAAGCACAGCTCTATCCTCTAATCTTTTCATTTTATTTAGAATTCTGGTAATAAATTGGGTTTCTAGACAACTCCAATTAATTTCTTACAGTACTGCCAGTCTGTTATGAAAGCGCACTGTACTGTTTTCTCTTCCCATCTTGGTGCAAGACGATTGCTTAGATGGTTAGATGATCTCTGATGGTTGTTAGTCACTTAGAATGAGGCATTTTGGATTCTCTAGAAACAAGTCTCTCAGCAGCCCAGCATATCTGATGTCTGCTTGTCTTGTTTGTTTTAGGATTGTGTCCGAGACGAAAGCTGTCACGTTTACACGTCCCAGGAAGTACATTGTTTCATCAGGTTCAGAGCCTCCAGAGCTGGGCTATGTTGACATTCGAACCTTAGCAGACAGCGTGTGTCGCTACGATCTCAATGAGGTGGATGTAGCATGGTTGCAGCTTGCCAATGAAGAATTCAAAGAAATGGGTGAGCAATAAGTGCTTGTGGTTTTGTTACTTTTTTTTTTTTTAAAGCTGGCAATCTTAAGAATAATTTTAGGGAGGGCAGCAGTGGGGAAAAAATGATAGATGTATGAAGAGGTATTAATCATATGAGTTGGGGTAGCCACGGGAAACCAGGCCTGATGTGGTTAAGCCCTAAGATATATGCTTTCATTACTGCTGAGTTGTATCTGCTTAGACCAGGTCAGAATCTGGCCACATGGCTTTTTTCTATGCTGCTTTCCATTTCAGAAGGGAATTGTCACAAAGTTTCCATTTTGTCGTCAAGGTCCTTGAAGAGAACATCAGGTAGACCATTCAGGTAGTTTTTCCAGTTAGTCCTTTTTTTTCACGTATTTATTTCTCTCTGCATCACACATCCGTATCATCTTTTTAGCTAGTGATGTTCAGTGCGAAGAAGTTACATGAGGTTTAGAGAACCTACGTGAGCTGAATTGCGCAGGGAATGAGACAGTAAGGAATTCCCACAGTGATTTATTGGAGGAATCTCCCAAAACTTACTGTGACCGTGTGCTCCAGTTCTGAAGCAGGAAGAGGAGCTGTCACAAGGGGAGCAACTATTCCCTTTTCTACAGAATGGATTGTGTGTGGGAAGGGGCAGGGGAGCAGGGCATGAACAGTAACATTTCTTTGGTAAGGTGTGTGCTTCAGGAGAGGATTTCACTGGAATTGAAGCGGATGTAAGTCAGCACAAATTTTAACCACATTGTTTAGATAAGGGAAAAGATGCTGTGCCAGATGGAAGAGGTTTGGACATGTTGGTGAACACTGTTGATTTTTGTTTTAGCATTGTGGCTGTTCCCTGCTTTGGGTTACAGTTTAGTCATACGGGTTTTACCTGGCTGTAGTCTGTACACGGCATGACTCAAGACCTGGTAAACCACAAACTGACCATTTGTAACTCTTTAGAAGTTTCTCTGTTTTAAACCCACATATGGAAGAAACAGATGACCCAGCCTTGACCCAGTCTCTTACCCAAGCCTTTTTTCCAGGTCTCAAGTCAGGCCTGCTCAGGTTTAGTGTTGGGCTTAGAGGATTTCGGAACAGTTCATGACTGAAGAGTTTAGGTTACCTGTCCAGTTATCTTCAGGAAAACAGCAGCAGCAAGTCACAGAATCATAGAATGGTTTGGGTTGGAAGGGACCTTAAAGATCATCTGGTTCCAACCCCCCTGTCATGGGTAGGAACACCTTCCACTAGACGAGGTTGCTCAAAGCCCTGGCCTTGAGCCAGGTCCCCTTAGCTTTCTTCAAAGAAAAATTAAAAATACTGTTTATGATTTGTAATTGATACCCATCTATCCAGTGTAGATAATTCCCTCTCTCTGTCTTTTGTGAAAACCAGAGGAGGGCTACCACAGTGTTATACTGGGTTGTAAGCAGCATTAGCGATAAAACGCACAAGAGGGGCTCTTCCTCATGCAGATATGTACCTGTGCATGAAGCCCTGTGGCAGCCATTCTGCTACACCAACGTAACCTTCAAAGTACACGTTGCATGTGAAACACTGAACAGCTAGAATTTCACAGTTCTGATCTTCCATGCTGTGTTTTGGTGCAGTTTGTTGTAGTTTGTTTGCTCTAATTCTTTATCCACTCAGTTTTGCTGTACACAGAGGGAAGGAAATGCTCCTGTCGCTACCAGGCAGTACATTGTGGGTCTTGAAACATGAACCTGGGTGCTCTATCAGACACTGCACTCTGCAGATACTATTAATGGGCATTTGAAAAGTGAAATACTTCCTGATCTGCAGTTGTAGCACTTCCTTTATGGTATCCCTGCAGCTATGAATTCCCTGTGTTTTCTTTGGTATCTGTTGGAAGTGCTTCAGGTACTGAAAATGTATATTCTGTCTTTAAAAGAATGAATGTAAACATTTGAACTGAAGCCGCAGCCCCTTGATTCACTTTTTTTAACCCTTATAAATGCACAGCCAGTGACATATCTCTAAAGGTTGTTTATAAAGTGATAGCAATCGTGGGGTTAGCATTTAGTTGCAAACTGGTATAAAACTTGCCAGCATCTGCTTTGCTGGTGCAATATTTGTGGTCTGCAGGGCAAAATTCACTGTCGTTCATCAGCAGAATTTTGGATGTTCCCTCTTGCCACCTTTCAGCTGCTCAGTTTGGGTGGTATGGGATGCATTGATCTCTGCCGCAAGGATTTACCTGTCAGTAAGGGAAGCTGGAATTACTTTTGTAGAGTGTTTGTCTTCTGATCTGGGGGAGGTAGAGAGGTTTTTTCCTTCTTTGTTTTGTGGGATTTGTGGCTCAGTTATTCACAGGGAGAGCCGAAAGGCAGATTTTCTTGTTAAAGCACACATCATGAGGTTGCCGTCTTCTGTACGTCACAGTAAACACTAGGTATTGGGAATTAGACCAAAAGTGGGATATCCTAAGCGTACCCTTCATTGTTGTGATTTAAGTATATGGCAATTCTTGTGCTAAACTGACTTTGCAAAAGGAAAATTATTATTTGCAGTAGCATAGCTTTCTTGGTTTCACTGGTGTTTGCGTGGCATGATTTTGTGGTAAATGTTGGCGTAGTACCGACTTGGAAGTATTACAGCCATTGTCAGAGCAAGTGAGAGATGGAAGCCAGAGGGGGAAGCACCGTGCTCTTTTTAGATCTTCTGTGATAGATATTTTTTCAGGTCTATAATGGTAATTTAATATAATGAACAAATTTGAATTGATAGAAATATAGAAAACTATAATGTAATCAGCCTGTAGCTGTGGTGTTATGAATAGTTTTCTGATGGATGCTGTTTGAAAAGACCAAATCCCAGATTAGATGTTGTATTTATTTATTTATTGTCCCAGATTTGATGTTGCATTTATTACAACTGTGTTTTTCACTTGTTAAAACTAATTCATTGGTGTAGCAGGGTCTGATGGAGACCTCAGTTGGGGTTGCACCCATTTGCGTTGGAACTTGTAAAAACCCAACAACTGTTGTTAGAAACTGCAAGTTTGTTACAAGTATCATTAGCAGGTTTTGTCATTGATTTTCCCCTCTGCCCCCATCACTTTTGGTTCAGAACACTCCCAAATCTTTCACCAAAGACTCAACATCTGGGTTGCAAAATAGAAGCAAAAGCCATAGACAGTGCTGTCCCAGAAGGAAAAATGAGAATATGACCAGGAAGCCAAAACCAGTTTATGAAAGTTTTTCTCGGGATTTTGAAAGATTGATTTGGATACTGCACTTCTGTTTGTCTAATACAATTATAAGACTTCTCTAACTTTTTTTTTTTTTCACAGTTTCCCTTGTTCATGCTGGAATAGGCATGATTGTCTAGGAATGACGTGTACGTGTGGGGCTCAGTTCTATCTACTCATCTGTTAAAAAAGAAGCTGGAGTTGGGTGTGGCGGTGGTTATCACTGTTTCCTTTAAATAAATAACAACTCTTGTTTCCCAGGGATGCCTGAGCTGGATGAGTACACGATGGAAAGGGTCATAGAGGAGTTTGAACAACGATGCTATGACAACATGAGTCATGCTATTGAGACGGAAGAAGGACTTGGGATTGAATATGATGAAGACGTTGTCTGTGATGTCTGTCAGTCTCCAGATGGAGAAGATGGCAATGAAATGGTGTTTTGTGACAAATGCAATATTTGCGTGCACCAGGTACGGCAGCCAGGGCACAGCGTGGGGGGTGAAGGTGTGGTGACAGAAACTTTTCCAAACCATTAAAGATAACAGATTGGATTTTTTCCAGTGACAGACGTTGATCTGTTAAGTTGGTGCAGAGCTCACCATTGAGAGGTGGGATGAATTCAGAAATTACGTAATTGAGAAAAAGAATTGTTACACGTAATTCTAGAAATGTCACGCTAAGAGGGTTAAAAATGGTGTTGCTTATCTGAGGAGGAAGTTACAAGGTGAGGAACTGCCTCTCCAAAACATACACATGTGTATTGTTGTACATTCTCACCTGGCCACTACTTTTGCTATATTCTTTTCCCCTCTTTCTGCACACTGCTGGGGCTAACACACCTCTAATATAAGCAACTTTGGCTCAGCAGGGAGGGGACAAAACTTTCAGCCAATCGCTAGGGACACTAGTAGGATTTATTATAGTCAATTTATTTTAATGGAGGACCTACTGACCTGAGCTGAGCTAATGAAGCACTATTACGTACCACCTTTTTGTGGCAGGTAAGATGTCAGTCGTCTTGCCATGAAAGAGCGGAATTTTAGCATATCTGCTTCTGTGGATGCTTCTTACTGTAGTAGATGACTTCCTATCAGCTGTCTTTCCCTCCCAGCTTTAAGAAGTTTGCTTTGTCATTCAGTATTTGGAAAACTGTGGTGTCTGGTGAGCAAGAGTGGCATTTTCTTGCATGTGTTACTTAAATGCATTTGTACTAATGATAAAGAAATATGCCTATGACAGCTGTAAGGTACAAATGGCTATCTTGCAAGATACTCTGATGTGGCGTTTTTAGATCTGCAGTGGTTCTCTATCCTTAGTCTTGGATCACGTCCAATCTGAAACTTAAGAGGGGTAAAACTGACAGTAATTGGGACAGAGGTCTCCTTAAAGACGTAATCTCCCCCCAAAAAAGTGGTCTTAATTAGTTGCTGTTCTGCACTTTTCCCTCTGAATAAGAAGTAAACCCCAGTGCTTTGGATTAGCATTGAGTATTGCACAGCAGAGCTCTTTAATTTGTGGTTCTTGCCTTTTGAATTAGATACAGTCTAGTTCCTGTTACGTATAGCCTTTCTGATACTGAACTTCATCCTAGATCACTGCTGGCAGGGTTGTCTGTCAGGAGTCCCCTTGCCCTTTGGGCTGGCAAACATGTTCTTCATTTCCCCAGTTGAAGTGGGCAGTGTTTTCTTGCCTAGCAGCCGGTCATGACTTCTGCTCCTTTCACTGAAAGATCTTTTTGGGGAATGAATGGGTAAAGTGGTTGGCTAAGTTTATGAAAGCATCCTGAGATCCTCCACAAGCTAATGTTTCTATAGCGTTAAGAATTCCATAAAGAACATTTTGAGACTTGCGAGAAGCTACGTGTGAACAGCTCATGCATGTTGTTTCCTTTGTTTTCTTTCCCTTTTCTGTAAATGGGAACACAGGCCTGTTACGGGATCCTGAAGGTGCCGGAAGGCAGCTGGCTGTGCAGGACCTGCGCGCTTGGCGTTCAGCCCAAGTGTTTGCTGTGTCCCAAGAAGGGTGGTGCCATGAAGCCGACCCGCAGTGGCACCAAGTGGGTCCACGTTAGTTGTGCTCTGTGGATTCCAGAGGTAGGTGCCGACCCTCTGGGAGTTCAGGGCTGCAGTGATTCTGGGAGAGAAGAAATCTGTCAAAAACGCTGTTCAACCTAGTGTGTGTTGCTACAATGAGTGTAGCATGTACGTGGAACTTCTTAGGAAGATGGTATAAAAGATTTTCAATTAGATGCAAAGTCTGGCAGGATGGAGCCTTTTCTGTAAAGGAAGTAATTGCCTTTGTCAACCAAAATTAGGCCTCAAAAAATTAGGCCTTTGCTGCGGGCAAAGCTCATTTAACAAGCACACAAAGTACCGTTATATTTTGTAAACAGAACTTTAAAGGTGAATCAGGAAGGTTTGGATGTGACAGTGAGAATTCCTGTGGGTTCTCATAATCAAAATATTCATCCTGTATGACAAGGTGGGCTTCACCTTGAAACTGCTTTGTTCATTCAGTGAGGAACTGATTTTTTAAAAAAGGAATTTTAATTTTTTTAGTTCTTTATAAACTGAGGAACTTGGAACACGCTAATTTTGCATATGTGCCCAAGGAATTTGATTTCTTTGGTAAAATTGTTTCCCTTTTCAGTTAACAGTGTAATAGTCGCTCTGCATTTTTTAACCTTTTTTCTCTTAGGTGAGCATTGGAAGCCCAGAAAAAATGGAGCCCATCACAAAGGTTTCTCACATTCCCAGCAGTAGGTGGGCACTGGTGTGCAGCCTTTGTAATGAAAAAGTTGGAGCTTCTATACAGGTAATTTAATTGCACAAATATCCGTGTGTTTTGTTTTGTCAGACTTCCTTTGATTTCCTGTTCGTTACTGTGGCCTTAATTGCACACAAAGTGCTTTTGAGTATTGGTGTGCTCTTGCCTTCTAGGCAGGTCATCCCATAAGAATTCCTGATTTGTAGATACGCTGATATGTTTATTAATACACTGAAATAAAACTTAAATGTTGTTGAGTAGAGGGAAAAAACCTGTATTTCTGTGATGTACCACATACAAAAGGAAGCTTGAAAGCTGAAAGCTGCTGTGCTGAAACCTATCTGCTAGTCCCTGTTTAGCGAGTTCTAAGACAAGTTGGATACCTCAGTGGGAGCTGAGTATTTCCTGTAACAGCCTGAATTTTGAAGGTGCTGAGCATGCCCAGCTCTCAGGGAAGTCAGTGGAAGTGAACACCTTCACTTTGATGATAAAGCTAGTTGTAGCTTTGAGTTTCTAATTTTAGGTACTGCTTAACATTGGACTGTTTTGGCTGTAACTATTTTTCCTGTAACTGTTTTATTGTTGGTCCAGCTTTTAAGTTGCTGAGGAGCATATCTGGTCATTTAATATTAGGCTTTTTGAGCAGTAGGAAAGAAAGATTGTTTGACTGGTCTGCCCTGAGATTCAAGCAAGCCACAAGCTGAAGAAATGAGCCCCATTTCCTCCGTTGGTTGTGGGTAGATTCTGGAGCTCTTAGTGTTTCTAAGGAGAAAAAAACCTCCTGGGTGTGAGTTGCCCAGTTCACATTGCTGTAGCAGCAGTGCCACGTTACCGTTCTGACTTCTGGTGCTCACTTGAGCTCAGGGATGATGACTGCCCGGAACAGCAAGCCGGGGCAGAATCAAAACGCATGTCTAGTCTTCCTAGTTCCAGAAAGAATGATTTCCGTATGCAATAAATAATTAAACTATAAAGCTAGCACTATGAAGCCATTTGTTTCATACCAACAACTCACATTCTTGGGCCAGTGCCAGTTTGTCTCATTGCATACTTCGGAAATTCTCTCTGCAGTTTCAGTTGGATTTGGATTCAGCCTTCCTCACCGTAGCCTGTGAATTGTCGCTGTTAAGTAACTGAATTGATCTGCACCAGAGTGTTTCAGACTGGGCAGTGTGGTTTCACCTGCATATTTATATTGGGTTGCTAGCTGTAAAGCACTTGCAGATCCTTTACAGTGGAAAATCACTCAGAAATGTTAAATAATAATTTTAGGAACAATTTTAAAATCTAGAGAGATTGAGAAAACCCATTACCAAGCCCCAGATTTTTGAAAGAGGAGATTACTTGGTTTCCTGAGACACGAGACAAGACTTTGATCTAGCTTACTTGAGAAGAAATGATGACAGTAAGGACAGGTGACCCACTCGGAGTCGTGTTGTGATTGTGTAGAAAAAGACAATAAAGTATAGCTTAGTGTTGTGGTAATGTTCTTCACCTTCAAGGTGTGCTTCATATACTTCAGCAAAATGATCCTCAGAAAGCTCCCTGAGACAGATAGGGAGATACTACTGTCTCGTAAGGAGTCTGAAGAAGTAAAGCTCTTTCTATTTTGTGGCTAGGCTAATGTTACAGGATCCATGATGGTAAGACACAGAAATTTCTAAAGTCCTGCACTTTTTTAAAATTAGGTTTTATCCATTTCCTTTTTTCCTCTGCTCTGAGTCATTTGATGAGGTTGCCAGAAAAAGTTGTAAACCAGCAATGCAGCAGTAGTTCCAGTGAAACCTATCAGTCCGTTTCCATTTAAGGCATGTATAAAATAGTCAATGTTAAGTAGAGAAAATAAATCTGTCCACAGCATATAAATTTGCAATCGTAATACCTCCTTGCAGAGCTGTCCCCTTCCTTTTGGCCACTATTGCGTAGTTGAAACTGTTTTGTCCATTCTCCAGACCTGTTCTGAGGGCTAACTTAGAGTAGTTTAAGTTAAGTTGAACACTTGAGTATTTATGTATGTTGGTGTGCAGGGGAGTGTCCTTCCATATTTCTTCTGATACCACCTCTCCCCTTCCAGTGACGACACAGGATGACATGTAGGCACGATGGCTACCACTTCAGACAGTTCTACATTTGAAATTATGGGGCAGAGACAAACAAATTACAGTTTTGCCTGACATGTTATAGGAGTTGTATAAATCTTGGTATCATTAAAGCTAGCAGTGAGAAATACATAGATTGGTGTTGTGAAATTTCATACAGCAGAGAAGAACATTACACAAAGCCACTGCAATAGAAAGGAAGTAGCGTTAACTGGATGAACTGAGAGAGATTGATTCTCCAGAGATGTTATGAGATGAGCACAACAATTAGCTGGAAGTACGTGTTAGGCTGGGCAGAGAGCAGCTGCAGTAAGCTGGGAAAAACGAGAGTGCGTATTCTCCCAGGTTCAGCAGATTTCCTTCCGATGAGGCAGGCTTTCCCCTCTTCTCCCAATAAAATATTAGCCATGCTACAAGGTGATTGTTCTAGACAATAGCAGCCTGGAAACCGTGGCTTAAAGTGCTCTCCTGTACTGTTTGGTGTTCCAGTTGGGCTGCTTTTGCTGTGTTCGCTAGTAAGAGCAGAAAGCGCAAAAGATGCTTTGGTATTTTTTAATTCCTTTTATATGTTGATTTTACTAAAGAATGTTCATTTGAAACTTCGGCAGTTTAAACTCTGTTGTACCTTTATGTGCCATCTGGCTGCCGAGTCAACCTGAGCAGGAAAACCCGGAGGAGAAAAGAGATTTGGCTTCTTTACATAGTACTGTACAAACATCCTAGTGCAATGCATTTCTCTTTAAGGTTAGATGACTTGTGTTAAGCACAGTTTTGTTTCCTCCTAGTTAATGTTCATTTCCACTTTTAATGTCTTTTCACTGGAGGCAGAGGTGCGAGTTGACACAAAAGCATATATATGCATGTGCACATGTACATACATACATACATATATGTAAACCTTTCAGTTTGCGGCTGGCAATAGCTATGACAGCATTTTGCAAGAGAAAGTTACATGTAATTGAAATGAAGTGCTAAATCAGCTGAACTAGCGCCTGTCACTCCACGATGGCTGGGTTCACTGGGAGGGAAGAAAGATGACAAAAAATTGAATTTCCTGTTCTCCTCATCCCCCAGGTGAAGGCTGTAGTCAGTGAAGTAGTGACTGACAGTGATTTAATATTTCACATTATAAAATAGGGGTAACAGGAAAAAAAAAAAATCCCCTTGGTGGAGGCCTTTTTGGTAGCACGGGGTCCAGGTGCTGGGAAAGACTTTTAATTAAAAGTACCAGACTGGCCTGGAGCCGCCAAGATGTTTTTCCCTCTCTCTCATGCTGGCACAGTCAAAGGGGGAACGTTTTCCTTTGTGTAACACTGCCTTATGTGAGTGGCTCCGGAGACGGTAAGAACGCTGCTCTTGTGGATTTGCTGGTTATTGAATAGCGTGATTGGGCTAGGGAGGGGTTAACCATTCCTGCCCCACTGGGCCACTTGATCATTGCCTGGCCTGAAAGCACTAAATCGTAAACCTAATTAACAGAGAGCAGGAAAGTACATGCAGCTTAGAAGCAGAGCGCCATAACAGTGTTGTTCTTCCAAAGCAGTCCTGGCTGCTTGAACAGTTTTAGGTTGTGTGGCTTCTTAAATTTATATTTGATTAATTTTAATTTAATTTCTGTAGTGTTCAGTGAAGAACTGCAGAACAGCCTTTCACGTCACCTGTGCATTTGACCGTGGCTTGGAGATGAAGACCATACTGGCAGAGAACGATGAGGTGAAATTTAAGTCTTACTGTCCCAAGCACAGCTCCACCAAGAAAACGGATGATGAGACTTTCAGTGAAAGTCCAGGTCAGGAGAACGGGAACGGGATTCAGGACAGCTCTCTTCCTGCCCACATCGATCCTTTCCACAGCATGGATCAAAACCAGGAGGAGGCCCACAGGGTCAGCCTCCGCAAGCAGAAGCTCCAGCAGCTGGAGGATGAGTTCTATACATTTGTTGAGTCTTTGGAAGTGGCTAAAGCGCTGCGGCTGCCTGAGGAGCCAGTGGGATTCCTTTACCAGTACTGGAAGCTGAAGAGAAAAGCCAACTTCAATAAGCCTTTGATTACCCCAAAGAAGGATGAAGAGGACAATCTGGCTAAACGGGAACAGGATGTTCTGTTCAGAAGACTGCAGCTCTTCACACACCTCCGGCAGGATCTGGAGCGGGTAAGCCACTGCGCTGCCCCGCGCTTGTGCGAGGTGCGCTAGCCTTCATTAGTCACCTTTCCAAACGACGCTCTCAGTTACTGCTCTCGCGTGCAGGCACTCCATGCCGCATCTTAGCATTGTTATTGTCAGAAAAGACGGTTAACACTAAATTTCTGCAGAGCACACCAATTACCCTCTTCAAGTAGAGGGTTAGTTCACAGGGCCAGCAGGTCTTGGCTTGTAGTATCCACTCTCCTTATAACTGGATTGTCGTATTTCTGCTTATGCTTTTTTACTGAGTAACACTTACGGCTGTGGACTGTACTGCAACCCCTGGCTAGAGCTTTTTTAACCTTTAAGGGCTTTCTCTGCTCCTTTCCTGGTGCATAAGAAGGAAAAGATTATGGAGCTTACCTTGCTCTGCAGCAGATCTGTTTCTCATTGACACAGTGTAGTAGGAGGACATTTCACTGGACTGTCTCTGTAAAAGGTTTAGGAGGCACATGATATTCCACTCAATTAGGTTCTGAATGTTTAAAGAACAGTTCTGTAGGATCAGTTTGGTGTTTTAAGTACATCTGATCCTGCAAGGACCCGAATTCCTTCCTTTGTTTTTTTTTAGGGGTTAACTAGTAGAGTTTAAGATAAGCTAGAACAAGAAAGAGTACTGAAATTATTTTAGTTTTTTACATCCGTACAGCATATGGCTCTTATAGGCCACGTGCAGAACCCGGCTCAAGAGGTCCTACCTCAGCGTCAGTAACCTGGAATGCTATCTAGTCTTCAAATCAGCACAGCAGGTGCTCAGGCATCTACTGCATCCTTTGTAGCTGCTACCTAGTATCTTTCATTTATGCTCCGTGTGCTCAAGATTTCTTCTGATCTTCTCTTTGATCAGCTAAATAAGTTGAGTTTGTCACTGTGTTCTCTGGATCTTATATTATTCTGTAGGTATCCTTTCCATTTTTAAGTGTGACGTCAAAACGGGATACATCATTCTAGTAATATTTTTAATGCTTTACTACTCGGTTGTTCCCACTGATTGTACATCCAAGATAACTTGGATGAAAAAAAATGTAAAAAATGGGGCCTACGGTTTTTTTTCCTTGTCAAGATAAATTCGGGTGGACTTCTTTATGACTTGACATTAGTGACAGTATCATCCATCTAGACACAGACTTTGAAATCGTGTCATCCAGTTCACCTAATGAAACAGGTACTTCTGTGGACATGACGTATCTGTTGTGTGTGCAGCTTGGATCAGACAAGGCGAAAAACAAAAGACTGTGGACTGTATCAGGGCGGGTACCGGGCTAGACAGATCCCTTCTCATTCACATCCACAGAGTAACGACAGTTACGTAAAACTACTGGCTGTCCTGGGACTAGAAGCCTTCAATAGAGCAGGACCTTAGTCATGCTTGTTAAATGTCTCCTCCTTACACTGGTGGTGAGATCAGCCGCCAAGGTTGTAATCCACAGGGCACCAGGCTGTATGCAGCTACACTGAACTGGGAGGGGAGCCTTGGGAACACCCACGTATACTTCCCTGCGATTCCCTCGCCTGGGAAAGAAATAACTGCTGAGCTCTAGTAGAGCGGAGGTTGTGAAACTTACACAGCTGTCCAGATTCGCCAGTCACATTGTAAGGGCAGAAATGTAGTTTTCTTCTAAAAAAACCCCAGAGATGATGGTCAAACAATCAGTTTGTTACTGTTTCCAGTCCCTGCTACCTCTGTTGTGCTACGGCATGAAGAGACGGGCCTGCCTTCATTTTTTTTTGATCGATCATACTGCAGTGGCAGGGTCATCACGAAGACCGGTACTGTTGAATAGTTCTCCACATTTTCATGCTATTAATTAAGTATAATTCCGTGTTGTGTCTCAAACAGCAAGAAGCAACTGGTGCTAGGCTATTTAATACTGAGTCAATTTAAGCATTTCCAGCATTTCTTAGAGTTCCTGTCTGTATGTACAGGATTGAGGTGTTCACGGAAGTTACTTCTGTGCTGTGGGCCTCCCAAATCTGATGGAATAATCAATCAGTTAAATGGTATTTAAGACTCTTTTCTAAGAAGTGTGTTGAAGGAGGTTAAATTTAAATACATTACTAACTTGTTTAAATGGTGTATAGTACTTAAACTGAATCAATTCAAAGCACAGACTGACAACGTCACAGAAAAATAATTCCTGTAAAACTCATCAATTTGATGTCTTTTAGGTGCGTAATCTCACTTACATGGTGACCCGAAGGGAAAAAATCAAGAGATCTGTTTGCAAAGTTCAAGAGCAGATATTTAATATCTACGCAAAGCAGCTGGAACAAGAAAGAGTTTCAGGTATGCTTCAGTGTTACCTTTTTCATGTAAGACCACAGGAGGCAGAAGCAGTGAAAGGTTTGGTTACAGGCTAATGGCTAATTTTGAAGGACAAACAGGACCTCGTTTATTCTCATTAAAATCTTGTGTAGTCCACCATGCATCAGCAGATTGGAAGAAAAAATGAGAATCTGTGTAGCTCTAATGGGGGGCACATTGCTATAGAAACTGCTAAGTCTGTGTTCTTATCCGTGGGGCACTGAATGGCTTGCTGCTTCAGAGCCTTTCTGGTGTGATTCTTTAATGACCCTGTATGACAGAGAGACCATGACTTACATTCAAGTGCCATATGGTACCTAGTAAGTCTGCAGTTTATTAGTGCCGCTGCATTAGTGTTTAGTATGTGCTTCTTTGCATCATAGATGGCAGTTTAAAGAAACGAATTTTGAAAAGGTAGCGCTCTGGTTTTACAACACCACTTTTTTTCTGCCTAATCTCATTGACAGTAGTCTTTTCTCAGGAAGATGAATACTTTCACAGTTACTGCATTAACTAGATTATCCTTAAAGTATTCAGTGACTAATAAACCATATTTCAGACAGAACCAATCAATCAGCTCCACTTGCTGATTGCTTTTCCTCCCCCTCTTCTGAGGAGTCTCTCTGTCCTAGGGGATAGAGTAGTGCTAGGATTTCTGTTTGCTACAAGTGCAATTAGGTGCAGCACAGCTACGGGAAAGTAAACTACACCAGCAGTTAATGTTGTCAAACCACGACATAGCCGCATAATCGTGACGTAAAGGTGCTGGGTCGGCAACCAAATACCCATCTATACTGAAGAACGTCAGGTGTGAGGAACAGAGTTCAAATAGGTGCATGCAAAAGCAGTTATTTACCCAGACACGGAATTGCTTGACTTTGACTTAAATTTGTTTCCATTTAGGTGTGCCTTCCTCATTCTCCTCAATGGAAAACACGGTGTTGTTCAATAGTCCATCTTTAGGCCCCAATGCCCCCAAGATAGAGGATTTGAAATGGCATTCGGCATTCTTCAGGAAACAAATGGGCACATCTCTAAGCCACTCTTTGAAAAAACCACACAAGAGAGACCGAGTAAGAAACAGCTCTGGGAACAACAGCAAATCCATGCTGCGGCAGCCCAGCCAAAGGGAAGGCGGTGCAGCTCCAGGTAGCTTTTTAAATTTTGACAAGACCTTTGCAGAAACACGGCTTGTATCAGCACAGCAGAAAAATGGCACAGTTATACCAGACCACAGAAAAAGAAGAGACAATCGTCCCCAGTGCGAGGTGATCAAGGGAGAGCTAAAGGAAAAGACTTCTAAACACAACCACAAACCACTGAGACCCACAGAACTCTCTCAGAGGCAATCAGAAAATAAAAGGGCTGTGAACCACTCCGGTGGTAGGTCAGCACCTGGCACGCGGAGGGATATAGTGCCTAAATGCAATGGGGGGCTTGTCAAAGTAAACTCTACTCAGACAGTAGTTAAAGTGCCTACGACGCCCACGAGCCCAGTGAAAAACTGGGGCGGATTCCGAATTCCAAAGAAGGGGGAGAGGCAACAGCAGGGCGAGAGCCCGGAGGAGACCTGCCGCCAGAACTCCAGCTACCCCTACCTGGGCGTGGGCAGAGTTTCACCGAAGGACAGGCCAAAAAGCAAGCTAAAGCCTGACAGTGAGAATGATGGGTACATCCCGGATGTCGAAATGAGCGACTCAGAGACTGAAGTGGCTGAAAAAAAGTGCAGGCAGCAGAGGCTCAGTCCAAACAGCACTATCAGCAGAAGGACGGACATTATTAGGCGAAGTATCCTGGCATCCTGACTGGACACAGGGACACGGTGTCAGCACCGTGGTCAGTAGAGTCACTGCCTACAAGCCAACTCCACATTATTTATTGGTGTGAGAGAGGAGAGTTCTTAGACGTGGCTACAGATTGACAAATCGATAACCCATTATTCCTGAGCTGTATAAACATGTTTACATGCACTTAAAGCTGGTTTTTTTGGCCCCCCCCCCATTCTGTGAGAAGTTTGAATCTCCTTTATTCGCAACTTTCCTGAGTAAGCAGAGAAATGACATCACTACTATAATAGGATTTGTGATGAACACTAAAATAACTCATGAAAACCTTTTAGAAGGGGCTCGGGTGGGTAGGGGGAAGTAGGCTGCATTCATCCCTTGTAGCTAAGAAGCACTGATAAAATTTTACTGCCTTCCCCTGCCTTCTGGAAAAGCACAAGCTCTTAATTTAACTAGTGTGTATTGAATGGAAGATGGTTGTTTAACCATACTGCACTGCTAAATCCCATTACAAATGGTCACTTTCCTTGGATGGTGGTAGGTCTTTTTCCCCTCTTGGCAGAGTGTTTTCTCTTGCATTCGGTTTAAGCATAGATGGCCGCTCAAAACCCTCCATAAGCTCCAGAGTTTACATGTCAAGATGCTTACTTATGAGATGACCAGATTGAACCGTGACGTTATACTGGAGGAGGAGGAAGGGACAGGTCAGGGCTGCAGCTGCCTTGCAGTGCAACAGCAGCTTGGAAAGACTCAGACTGAGCAAGGTCTGAGAAAGGGCGCAGGTTTGTGGGTTGCGGCAGCCCGTGGAGTAACCCTTCACCGTTGAGTCAGTCACCTGCCTCTGGGAGTCTGATGACAATTCAAGAAAAAAATAATTTCTAAGGCACTAGTCGGTAGGATTTCCCAAAGCCCACCACATATGCACTAATGGTACGTACTGGGAAAGCCACGCTTATGACACTAAAGGGTTGCTTTAAAGTGGACATGAATATATATTTTTAAAGAGAGTAAAATGGAGAGGCAATAAATTGTGATTAGCTCTTTACAGTCAAAAGAAGAAAAAATATTTCATTCTATTCTGGACTAGATTTGATGGAAGAGGGAACTCATATTCTGATAGTGTACTTTTTTTTTTTTAATAATTGCAAATGGCAATAACTAGTAAGCTGTGAGCAATAATATTAGCAGATCATTAGGATACTGTTTTGTACCGAGTAGAGTGCACATATAACAGTGGAGCGTTAGGAACCTGTAAATTTTGGAATTCTGCATAGATATAAGTCAGGTATGTACTGGTGAAAAAGTTTCAGCAGCAATGTGTTACAGAAAGACAGGCATAAAGAACCCCCTTCCCTGCAACATGCCCCCCCTCCCCCCCTTTTCTACTCCTAGCCTGCTGTTATCAAATCCGCTCACTTGTTAATGTTAGACCCTTGCCTCTTGAGCAGGGAGCATTTAAAACACAGTAGAACTCTGCCATAACTGAGTCTTCCAGAGGATTCAATATCACAAAAAAAAAAAAAGGCAAAAAAAAAGCTTATTAACACCGTATCTTGCTATGCAAGTTATCACTTGATTAAATATTTCAGCAGAGTGCATCCCTATCCTTTGTTTTAAAACTCAGAAGTCTTAACCTTTTGAGGAAGGGGAATTTTGCGTAAGATAGCATACCTTTAAAAAACCATGGCTGGTCCTAAGAAGTTAGATTAACTTCATGACTTACAGAGGTGAAATTCAGTCAAACTGGTGAATCTGAAATTAGGTAGTCGCTCTTGGGACATGTTAAAAGAATAAGTACTTATTTGATTAAACAACAACAGACAGACAAAAGGTAAATGCAGGTACGTTCTACTCAACATCCCGATTATTTTCCAGACAGGCACTGTTACTTTCTGTAAGAAACTCATGACTGTATAGGGAATTGTTTGTCAAGCCATAGATGGAGTAATCTAAATTTGGATTCTAAGTAAACATTTAACCTCACACCAGTTTGAAAGAGGTACCTTGTTAATTTGCACTATTATGAATGCTAATGTTGTGCAGAGTTAATGCCTTATCTGTTTTGCTCCCCGACGTTTAGGTTAATAAGCTTTCTAATGTTTCAAGTTAGGCTGAACCAAAACCAAAAACGCTGTAAGACGACCGCAGTGTGACCAGCTCTGTAGGTTAGTTTCATCTCCCATGCTTACCGCTCAGCAGAAGAGGTGGTGCAAGTACAGCAGTGACAATACAAACCCAGCCCTGTATTTTATTGGGGTAGAACCATTTGCTGAATTTCTGTTTTTAAGCATTACCTTTCCTTGTGCAGACTGACCAAGAGATCTTTGATTATGATTGGTGTATTCTGTCAAACTGTAGGCTAGTTGAACTTCTGTAAAGTTGCCTGGAATGCCATTTGTTAGGTTATAAACTCACACAAAGCTAAATGAAGGGTTATACGTGTTGTGTATAAATCTTAATTTCAGAAATTTGAGAAAATTGTCATTACATTTGTAAAACCTTGTACAGAAGATTTTTCACTATGTGCCTAGCTTTGGTGTCCATTCAGCTGAAATTAATTAAAAAAGGTGCATGAAGACGAACAGATAGAAATAAAAAGTATATGTAGAGATAACTATTTTATATTACATGGCCCTATCCTGTATTTATTTTCTCCCTTTTCTGAAGTATTTATAAAGACCTAGTTGAAGACAGCTGTATTTTTTGTTAAGATATTCAGTAGAATTGTGCCTTTTTGTCTGTATGTGAATAAATGCTGTACATTTTTGCAGTATCCTTGCCAGCAGTGTTTTAGAATTTGCAGTAGTTACTTTGTTTGGGTTTTTAAACACTTCACTGCAATGATCCGAACAACTTTCATGGTTAAAATAAGCATTTAATTTGGATTATTACAAAATGCACACTGTGGTTGCAAGAGAAAGATGTGGTTTGGTTTTGGTTTGGTTTTTTTTTTTTTGGTTAGGAATAGTATAGGGTCTTGCTACTGACAGCTGTGCCTGTCCCATCAACAGAAAATGGTATGCTTTTTTCCTTGAGATCCTCAAAGAGATGTTGCTTACCTCAAATAGTTTACATTTGTTGGTATCTGATGTCCTTCCAAAGTCCATAATCTTCATACACGTGTTCCACTGGAAGAAGAACATGAGGTTCTTACCTGTGGATCTTCAAGACAAGACCACTGAATGTACATTCACACTACAAACTGCCTATAGTCAAGCAATGCTGACAGAGAACGTTTGCTGCTCTAGCAGGATCTCTAGGACACAAGGCGTGAAGGGCAGAGTAGGTCCTTTCCTCTTGCTTCCTCGAAACTCAAGATATGGAAACATGGAACAGACTTGGAGCAGAGCAGGAACAGGACAAGGTTGTGAAGGCATTTGTCTAGCAATACAGCTTGAAAAACAGCTATGGGTAAATAATGTTTCTCAGATCTGTACTTGTATCACATACATTCCCGTTGTGGGCAGCTGTGAGTGGCACCCCTCAAAAACATATTTCAAAGAATAAAGATTAAAGGATGGCCCTCCTAAGAGATACTAGTACAAGCTCTTCCAGGTGTGAATAGAAGTCCAAAAGAGGTTCTTGCAGCTGCTTTGTAGATATTGCTGACAACAGCCTTTCTGACAGGCACTGCAGGGCTGGGGTTACTGAGTAAGAGTGGGTCAGAGCTGAGTACAGCTTGGTAACCACTGCAGTAGACTATGAAAAAGTTTCTCATATGCAGTGATAGCTGTTTCAAGATCCAGCCTATGCCAGAAGGTGTGTGGGGCCCTTGGGAAGGCCCAAAATGAAACTGTACTACCTTCATAGTCAGATTATCTATCTATCATCTCACCTGTTGAATGGAACTAACTAACTATTCACCTAAAAACTTTACCTAAGTAAAGACAGTCAAGAACAAAGTTTAACTCATTGGGGAGCATTGATATCACACTAGGGAATCTTTAAAACACTCAAAAACTGGTGTTGGGGTGGGAAAGGAAGGTAGGGGAAACAAACACTTTCCAATGGAAGAGTGACAAGAAATAACCTAAGATAGAAACAGATGTAGAATAGCCAAGACAGATGATTGAAAAGCCTGCTGCTCCATTCCATGAAACAATCTAGCATCGTGAGGGAAAGAGCAAAACTTACCTAACCAGCAAGCCTCAGATTTTAATTGCCTCAGCAAGTGCCTTTCCTCTGAAAGTCCAGCTTGGGAGCAGCACGCCAGCAGCCTCCTCTAGACGCCAAACGGAAATGAAAGGAGGTGGTGGCAAGATGATGAGCTTCACTTGACCACATTCCGTTCCGTGGTTCAGACAGATGTGTTTGGTCATTTTTTAGCTGCTCAGAGGATCAGGCAGACAGGAGGGAAGTCTTTTTCTTTCCTGTGTCATCTGCCGTAATTGCTCTGCTGCCCCTTAACTTTACTACTAGGTGCTTTTGTCATCACTGCAGTTCATATTCTGGCAAGTAACCATTACACAAGAGCCACACCATAAGCTGAAATGAATATACCCACAACTAAAAGGGAACCAGGCAGGTGCCCTTCTGTGCCTCAAGGAACAAAAACACAAATACTGTTCCTGCCGTTTTTCAGCCAGGCTTCACTTCACAGCTAGAGCCTCTCTTTAAGAGGTGAATGGGATTAATAGCTCACAGAAAATCTTCCAGGTGGTCTGTCATCATCTCAGATGTGCATTATGCAAATTAAAATAAGGTTCTTGGTACTTACCTCCCTCTGTATCACATACACAGTTGATTGATGAAAGTCTCACTGCAGCAGACGTTTGGAGCTGCTGGACAATGTATCCATGTTGCTTTGAAAAAAATCTTTGAAGTCTTTTTAGCAAAATTGGAGATTGTAATGGATACAGGCATGTATCAAACTGAGAAAGCACCAGTAAAGAAGCACGTGTGTGTGTGTGTGTACAACTGTAGAAAATAGTAACTTCCTCTGCGGTAAGCAGAAATTTTTCTTGAGGTTGCATCCATCTTGCAGGCTGTACTTGAACAGCCATGTTTTCAGGAGGTGGCACAAACTCTTACTTTCTCCATGTGGTGATCAACCCAGGTCTGTCCTCTAAAATGCAAATGGGGTGAAGATCCACTGCGACAGACCTATGGGCTTCTTAGTCCAAAACAACAGTTTTCACCAAGCACCGGGTAAGCATTATCCATCAACTGAGGTAGAAGTTACAAACTAGAGCTATACTCTTCACAAGAAATTACATCACATAACTCCAAGATGGGAGCACTTCAAAATCAGTTAACACCTATCCAATGTTTATAATATATGCTGAAAGAGAAAACAGAGTTCAGCTCTAATTTTAGAATTGTATGTATGAAGTTTCTCCGCTACCAAAAACATGCACGCAAGAGGATTCCCACATAGTGGCATCTGTAGAATTCAAACACGCTAGTTCAAAATGCATAACAGCTGGATGACTTAACCAGCTTTGTGCAAACTGAAGTAATGGAGAACTGAAATTCCCAGACACATACAAACCGAGAGAGCAGATCAACAGGAAAGCAAGGAACAATTGTAAAACAGTAATCAGGAAGAAAAAGCACAACCGAAGAAAGATTACGGTCCTTTGACATGAGCTGTATGAGTAGCCACAGGAGCATTTTATTTATTAACTGTTTCCCAGGGGCATTGGAACAAACTGAACCGAATTCTTAAAACTGGAAGGCAGTGGAGGCATTTTGCAGCTGTAATGCCTACTATAAAAACAGCAACTATTTGGCATTCATGATTTAATTAGTGTCTTACTACAATTCATAAAAGGTCTTCAAAATGTTCCCAAGTTACTGCACTACAAAGAAAAATTAAAGGTATTGACTGTATGTGAGCAAAGCTGTTCATGAATTTCAATATAATGTTATCTGTTCCCTGTACACAATCTTGTCGTAGTTGGAGCTGGTGTTTAGACCAAAAAAAGACCAATATGCCACAGCACTGTATCAGATTGTTTCATCTGCTACATTAAAGGACTTTAATTACATCATTCTGCAGTCTTCTTCCAGTCTTTACTATGCATGCAGATACAGTATCTTTGTCCACCCCCTTTCTTACCTGAATAAATCAGAAAATGTTTATCTAAGTTTTACAAGCCTTGCCATGGAGTTGACTTTAATGCTCCAATATGAAGTTTCTCCAGCAATCTTCTTATCGTCAACACGGCGTGGATGAACAATTCATATGTTTAAATATTTTCCAGATCCTTCAGGGAAGCAGCTTTTTTCTTCTGTGTAGTTATCAGGCTGAGCTGTAATTAAAAACAAGCAGATAGCTTCTTATAGAATGTTTTTTAAGCTCCCAAGTATCAGCAGAACTTCAATATGGAAGGTGTTGTGAAGGAGAGGGAGCATAGCTAAGTGGGAATTTGGGGTGAACAGTAAAATTCACAACGCACTCTATAGATGACTACTGCTTTTGTCTCATTTCAGATCCCAAAGAATTCATGATGATGAAAGATTAGGTGGCAGGAGTATACTTTAAAGACATCTACATAGAATCCACACATTTTAAGCCTGTGCAAACATTACCCTGTATTTATGTTTCTTCCTGAATTACTATTATTTAATAAATAGCTAAGATTTATAGTCATTGAACTAACCACAAGAAAAATGTAATTTCTAGACTCCCTAATAGTCCAGCTCTAGCCTGTATTGGATTTAATTTTACAAGTAAGCTGGATAATGGAATGAGAATACACAATTAAGTCAAGTCAGAAAGTAGCCCTCAACCTACAGGTTCAGAATACAGAGAAGAGTTACCGTTCTGATTCTGAGGAAGCACACACACAAACATTCAGTCTTCTGAGAGCTAGAAGAGAATGAACACCTTGTTTCTTCAGATTCAGAAGAGCGGATGTTCTTGCAGCAGTACTCCTGGAGACTGCTTTTTCCAGCCTTTAGTGGGAACAGGGCTGGTATGTCTTTTGTGGGGGGGTGGGGTGGGCAGGGAGATGAAGGGGCTTGGCACGAAGTTCTTAAGTCACTACAAAGAAGCCATGCTTGACAGCTGGCAGCACTAACCTCTGCCAAGCCTGAAGATGGCAAGGCAGTTCTGAAGACCAGCAATAAGGTCTGGACAGCAATTTAGCTGCTGGACATCTTACCAAGTCTCTTTGTTACCTTTCAGAGGGCGACTGGTGAGGAACAGTTAATTATTGAAGTTTTCAGGAACAGCAAGACCTCTTCCTATATGGGCACTGATGCCAGGACTTCACTCCCTTGAAAGGTGCTGTGACCATGTTTTTTAAGGGAAGATAGCACCTCAGAAGTATTAGAGCTGCTGAACAGATCCGTAGAAGAAACAGGAGGTAAAAAAAAACCAAACCACTTTTTCAGAGCAAACCTTCACCGGTTGGGTAGACCTTGTCATGACAGAGAGCATTTACAGCCAGGAAACGGGGCTTAGGTTACGATAGCTTGGCAGCTATGCCCCTTTATTCACTGCTGTTGGGAAAAAAATGCCCTTTGTCCTAATTGGACAATTTAGATCAACCAAACATTTCCTCTCTGCAACTCACGTGGGATCACCCATGTTAAAAAGCTATTAATTTGCACATGGGTTACCTAAATCACTGTAAAAAATTAGGAGGCAGAAAGACCACCTTTACTTAACAGGAGACAAACTTGAGTAACAAATTTGCTTGGCAAATAAGCGAACCCAGTGTATAAGCCCCCCATGGGATTTGCTTCAAGATGTAGAGCTTGAACAGAATTGAAAAAAGAACGCTGGATGGAAGAAAAAACCTACTGCCCAGCAGAGAAAATACAGAATTCTAGGTAGCATGGGGTTTAGACAAAGCCCCAAGTTTCTCTCTCTGAAGAGAAGAACACCTTTCCTCCCAGTATCCCTAATGTCTAGAAATATTGAATAGTACTGCTCAAAGCTGGAACTGAGTTGTAGGAGAACTGGAGAAAGAAGGCAGCAACAATTCAGCTCATTAAGTGATCACAACGGTGCACAAGGAGGTCTTAGGCATATAAACAGCTCTAACAGACGCACCTTCTCTGCAGTTTTCAGAATCACTGAAACATGTGCTAGGCATGTTTAATACGGTAGCGAGATACATACACCATCCCTTCTTTTCCCCCTTCCCAGGGCCTGGAAAAAAGCAAGTATTTCCTATTCTGTCTGCACAGTTTTCAGTATTTTTGATACTACAGGACTTGGTGTGTCCGTTACATGTAACTGATGCTAACTGCCGTGGGCTGTATTTCTCCTACAATCTTTGGGGACACAGCTACTGGAGGCTACTAATGAAAATGCAGGCGGACAGACAAGAAGTTAACAACTGTGGAAGTCCTCATGACATGGCAGAAGGTACTCAGGGTTGCAACTGGATGAACACTGAGCAGGTCTGCACTATCAATTCTGTCCTGCAACCACTCCACTGCACGCCGTTTCCCCATGCTCTTTGTGCGGCCACACAGTGAATTGGACCAGGGAACTTATTTGGCTGAAAAACCCCACAAACAGAATTCCCACAAATCAGCTACTCTGCCTAGCAGTTTTTGTAAGGCAGTTCTCTAGTCATCAACTCAAGACGTGCTTTGTTTTACATCAAACTCCCCAGGAGACAGGTGTAGGAATCGGCACAAAATTTGCTCTTTATCGTGTGAAGCCACCGTTTGCGACTGCTGCAGGAGGTTACACCAAGCTAAAAAAAGCCTGCTTTATGTAAATAGGAGCTGCAGTTGTTTAAGGAGTTTTTTTACCTCTTTGTTAACTTGCTGCCATTTCTGCAGATGGAAATGATCATATACCTTCATTCACACATTTTGAACCATACAAGTTTAATTTGCATCAAATTTGTTTCCATAAACAAATCTATACTGTCACTTAAGCATCCTGTCAGAAGGTGGCACTTAATTGAATATGCATCAGTTTTGTGATGACGCATCCAAAATACAAGCTTGTTGTTAAAATTATATTAGTGATAATGCACATAAATGATCCCCTCTACCTCAGGAATGATACAAAGTGAGTATTTTTGTTGTATTCAATAGGATTTTTTTAATGCACTTGGGTAACATGTTTTTTGTTAGTTTTGTACCTTTTGAGATGCTGTAGCGGCCCTCTGTTCTGCCTGGCTCAGTCGCCTTTGAAGCCTGTTGATGTATTCTCGATATTCCATCATTAATTTTTCATCCTGTGTAAATGAAATACCTCATTACAAATGCAAAGTTCTTTTTACTGGATCCATGCATACTGTAGCGAAAAAGCTTAAAACAAGGAATTTAAGAAGCGGAACTGTTTGCCACTTAAAATAAGACTGAAGACATACTGCTGACACATTACAGAGAATTTCCAGCTCAAAATTGACATCATATGACTTTTCCAATCAGAGTAATCTGCAGAGGAAGTTTTACTCATTTCACCATCTTGAAGTAAGATGCATAAAACCTGACATTTTAATCCAGGTAATTTAATTTACACAATCTTACAATGTAAGTCAAAGGGGAAAAAGAAAGTACTAGATAACACAAATGAGATGATAATCTTCCTACAGGTTTTTTCTCTTCTCTTCATCAAAAGGGTACATATAAAGTCTTACTTAACTGTCCTTTACTTACAGAAATCTATTCTCACACCAGCCCCATTCTTCTCCTCTAAATAATACAGCACTACAAAAACCAACACAGAAGGACTTATCCTAGATAGAATTGGGTATTATCCCAGATTTATGAGGCTGACAGGATAGCTGTTTTCTAAAGTGGCCATTAATTATTGAACAATGCACATTCCAAAACAGCCCTGCCCTTAATCTTTAATGGATAATGCTTTTATCTATATGCATATATGCACACACAGTGTAAATTCTACTATACACATAGTATGCTGAGAATTTGGTATCTCTGCATATGCTACATTATCCGTAACACAATACCTACTCCTTTTTAGAGGTATGCATGCATACATAGGCATAAGTGACTTCAGAAACATTTCCTGAATTGTCTAAAATTGCTAGATTAGTAACCCTGAAAGACGATCTCTCCTTTACCTTTTCTTGTAATTCGAGAGTAAAGTTAATTTGTCTTCCTGCCATCTGAACATGTCAATCAGCAGAAACAGTGGGGTTTTCCAGTTATGACTGCTCCTGTAAAAAATCCTTACTTTTTTCTAAACCAGCAACGTAAGTCATCTAAATAGGTTTCTGTTAAGATCCTAGTGTGCATGCATCAGGTTGTAACTGCAAGTAGTTGTCATATCAGTCGTTATCTTACCTCAGTTACCTTTTCATTTGCCATTTCCAGCTGAGAAATGAGCTCCTGGCTACGAAGTTTTTGTTGACTCAGCTCACTTCTGTTAATCAGAAGAAAAGATGCTGATTAACACAAACAGTGCATCAGTTATCAGAATATAATTTCATAGGTACTTTCTTGCATTGTAGGGGCTTATAGTGTATTTTTAATTACAGCGTTGCCCTTAAAACATTCATTTCAAAAGCACTACACAGCTAGCACTTCTTTGTGATGTATATTCAAAACTATAATGGCAGAGGAATGAGATGTATTTGTTTGAATCAAGAGGAGTTTATCTGACATTTTATGGGAGTTTTTTTCTGTTTATCGAATCTTATTTTGCAGGCACATTATCAAATATGCTATAAATATAAGCTGCATTTTCACAGTGCATTCAATATTTAGATTAACATTCTAATTTGTGTCTCACAACCAAACTTCAATGTGGACATTTTTGAAGGTGCTTTGAAGTACCTAAAACCAAATCATACTATACTTGCAAGACAGACAGCAATGTAACACTTCATGAGGAAAAGGAAAAAGCCACCGTCTTCAAAATGGTCTTTTTACTTTTATACTGAATGTTTTAGTGATCCTGAATTTGTGTAGTACTGAAGATAAAAAATATTTGGGTTACGGTAGATATCTTTGAGTTGGTGCTCAAAGAAAACAGTTCTTGCCTCCTGTCATCACAAGCCACTGAAAAAGAGGTATGACCAAAGATGGAAATATCTAAACTTTGGTAATTTAGCCAGAGGAATATGCAAAACTAAATGAGCTGCTCTAACCTTTCACCAGTCTCTACTCCAGAAGCAACAGCCATCACAGAAAATGGTGTGATCAAGATTCTTGCCACCAGTTTCACCTTCTACACTGAGGTTCAAACATGTTTGTGAAGAAGAATTTTCAAATCTATTCGCCCTCCTTTGCCAAGTTGAAAGCATGCTGAAGTGCAACCACCTTCATGAGTATGTAGCACATTGACAATGCTCAGAAAGCTGATACCTAACCTTTAGGTGCTCTGCCTATTACTGAAACTACATGCGCTGTAATGGAAGCTAAAGCCTTTATTCCTTCTGGGGAAAAGGCAGTAAGGTAGGAGACACTTTAACATCAGATCTTTGTCTTAAAAGGCCTCTGCTCTTTTAATGATGGCATTTAGTTCTCAACAATAATTTACCCCTAAAAAACTTTTAAATTTAGTATTTTATAAAATTTTGAATGGAAACTGCTATATGGCACTTGAAATACGAGGTTGCACTCTATCTGTTAACCTACGGTTGATGAGTATACCTGGCTGGTAGTTTCCACTCCCTTGTTGTCAACCAACCCTGTTAACCAGTCCCAGGTAGATACCATAAAAACAGTTCAACGCTTTTTGACTAGCTGCTATAAAAATGAGAGTACATAGGCAGATACTTAAACCATGTTAGACAGTTAAAATGATATATAGATTATACCTGTGTTACCACATGTGAACATTTTTATATAAAATAAGAATTAAAGATGGATTAAAACTGCAGGATCAAGATAACACATTAACACTTAACACCACTATTGCAATTTGTCCTCTGTAACCAATATCAAGCATCAAGATGAAGCATTTTCAATATAGGAGCCCTAATGAACAGCTGTTTTCTGAAAGCTCAGTTTTTATAAACTGTTTTAGTAGCAGAACAGAAATTTTATACAATTCCTGTCCTATCTTTTCATACATACCTTTTTCAAAATAAACTCCCTGGAAAACTATTCAAAGATTACTCCTTACAATGTGTAGACTGCTTATGTTCAACTACACTAGCAAAAAAGGCTTTGAAAATAAATTCTTAAATTCTGACTAACCATCTTTATTGTTATGTCATCTTAGAGGACTATCCACATAGATCAATTTTCTAAATTAAAAATTCTTAGTTACTGAAAACAATCTGTCTCCTATACTTGTACTGAGGTGTGGAATTAGCATTCTTAGCAGCACAGGCCATAAACAAGAGTTTACATGCTCATATACAGCTGTATATCAAGAAATTATTTTTATAATTTGATCACACTGAACATGTATTTAAAGAAAACAGTTTAACCTTGTAAGCATAAGGAAATGTGATGGCTGTTGAGCTAGACAGCTGATTCATTCTGATTGTTAACCCTCCCCCGAACACACATGATGAGATTTTAATATTAAAATTGAGCAGTAACCCCAACTGCTGAATAATCAAATCACTCCCCACCCTGTACTGTCTTTGTTAAGTGAGTGGGAAACAAAAGGTGAGCTTTTAGCATTTTGGCAGACGGGTGATAAATCCGCCAGCTGCAGCAAGTACGTTCTGCAAAGCTCTCATATGACAAATATAGCATGTGCCAGCTGTTTTTTCGGTTGAATTATACTATAATATGCTTCAGTTACTCTTAGTAATTATGAATTTTGTATACTGCCAGTACCTGCAGCTGTCTCTCATCCTGTTAATTTTTTTCTTTAATGAACATCTTAAAATAAGCAGCTATGGCTGCCAAACATTACAGAAGTGCAGCCAAGAATAATGTTTTAGAAATGGAGGAAACTTCTTCATCAGAAGATGCCATGCAATTCACTCAATGTACTACTATACAGGACGGAGAGAGAAGGAGAAGGCAGTCCTGTTCAATGCTTCATACACAGGAACCAAAAAAGGTAATTCTTCAGAGGCAGATTCTTCTCAATTAAAGAAAAGAGAAAACTGAGAGCTCCAAAAACCACACACGGCTACTGATGAGTCAGGGACTCTAACTATGACACAGAAATTTTTCAGAAGCAGAAACTGGAACAAAGACACCCAAAATAGCTGCGATCAGATGACTTAAGCTAAGCAAACTATTTAAATTTAAAAACAATATGGCAAGGATTCCCTTTTTGTAAGTACTGACAACTACAATTCAAGTGAATATTAAAAAAATGAAGCCATTCAGTATAGTTGCTCAAATATAACGGGTTTATGTTACAACAAATATTTTTTATTTTTTTTTCCCAAAATGTTGTACCTTACTACTAGACAATAGTGGCAGATGGTTAAGATTACTAATTTACCAATTTGTTCATACTATATATTAGCATTAAATTTTATTACTTTTTTTATTAGTTAAAGACTTAAGATTTTTAAAGCTCCTCAGATGCATTGTTGCATGGAAGTAACTTCTAAAGTACTCGCCCTCTTTATCATTTAAGCCAACGTTTATAAATTGTCTCAGGTACTGTTTTGTAGATTCAGTTTATATTTCTAAAAAGAGAACTGACTTGTGTATACCTATTACTACCCGTACTCAGGCTCAACGGTACCTTAACTGAGCAATCATCCACATGTCTAACAGGCCAAAGGAATATTCATAGCAAAGTTGAGAGGTCAATTTCCTGTAGAGTTTTCAAGTTACAAGATCTACCTTCTCCCCATCTGCAGTTTTCAAGATTGACTCCACTGAAGGGCATTCTGTGGATAATTCAGTCATTTGGGTGAATATGACACTTCACTTATCAGTGTGGTTCTTGTTCTGATCCCTGGTCCAACCAGAATCATGTTCAACAAAAATGCTCTTGGGTGTTGGCCACTGGTGAGGACTTTGGTAACGGTGTATGTATAACCACTGGTTATCTGCCAAATTCCTTCTCAGTTTACTCCAATTCTTATCTTCATTCTCAGGATTAGAACACAAAAATCTATGAAAAATACTGATATCCCCATTAGAAGGCATTAACCATCTACTATTACATGTATTACGACCTCTTTTTTATTTATTTGTTTAACCTAGTTACCACAAGTACAGACCAGTCAAGGTGGACTTAACAGAATGAATGAATAATCTGCCCTTATTTTTTAAACTTGCATACAGTCTTTCACTTAATTTTCTTTTAGTAAATGCTGGTAGATCCGATTACCCTGGTTTTGCTTAAATTCTGTTGTCAGAACTTTCTCTCTCACCCCTTCTCGATCTATCCTGTATTCTGTTGTTACTGAAGTTTGTTTCCTTCCAATTTACAGATTTCATAAATATTCCTTTGGTATTGCTGATTTCACTTTCTATCCCTGCTGTCGTTTATTCTTCTCAGCTTAAGTCTGAAGAAATATATAGTTTTATACACAATGCTGTAAGGTAATAAGAACAGTCCTAGCCAGTCTCTTCCCCCAAACATGGCCATAGGAACTGTTTTTCTAGGTTATAGTACTTCAGTGAAAGCAAGAGCCTTTAAAAGGATGTGTATGTATTCCTCATTTCTTTCAAAAGTAAAGTCTTTCAAATGAAGACAAGAAATGTAAAAGAAGCTGGAAGCACTTGGTACCCATTTTTTTTTACCACAGCTGCCAAAGGCAGATCACTCAAGTCCCTTAAAGTTTTGGGACGTTCAAACTGACAGTGATCTTAGAGCTTCCAACTGTAAAGTTGGAATCTACACCCTGTAGATCAGCAGCAACAGCAACAACAACATGGATTGCTTAGATTTGTTATCAAATTCCACATAAACTTGTGGAGAAGTGACACTGCAGATCAAAATAATTTTTTAAACATTAAACTTAATTCCAGTTTGGTTATTTAGGTTACTTACAACAATGCTCCAGATATAGGGGGAGAAAAAAAAAAATCAAATAGAAACTCAGGTAAGTGTCAGTTACTAAATTACTACATTAATGAACATATAATGGTTAAATTATTCACCAAGACTTAGAAGCTCTTTTTGGGTTACAAAAAAAATTATCTTTAGAAACAAGTTTGCTAGTTTTAAAGAATTTCTATACTTCTCTTACTATTTTCCATTTAAACCCCTATAAGGAACACAAAAGATGACTTATTGCCTCTCAGAAGTTCACTTCATTCTACTGATTATTCCTGGTCAGAACTGAACTGGTGGTTCAATCCCAGACCCTAGCAGAGATGCAACCGTCAAAAAATGCAAGTCTGCTGAAACACAGCAAGTAACCAAACCAATTCAACTAAAATGAAGTGTTAATACGCATTTCTGTCTCAAAAGCCACATCTGTCCTTTGGTCTTGAGGTGGATTGACCCAGCTGGCAGGTAAGCCCCCACCCAATTGGTCGCTT